GATCTTCGGTGTTCATATGGCCTCATGTCGGCCTCTTTTCAACGGGTGAATAGCAGCGGGACTCCAATACTGTGCCGTGTGTGCCAATGATCGGCCACAAGGCCACGTTGCGGCCGGCACTACGGCGAACAAACCTGGTATTAAGGAGACGAGATGCTACAACTTTAAACGTCTTTTTGTCTCTCCGTACCTACTAATAGTAGAGGACGTTTGCTTCACATTCGTTAGAAACGCCGAGAAGTTTGCCATCGGTGTTATTTTTCGACATTCGTCTAACGGTAGCGAGGAACATCTGATGTTTATCACCGCGACCGACAGGAATGTTAGGCTTCAGACCCGTAAAGGAAATAGATACTTAATTACCTCATAAGTCTTGATATATAAATAATTTTCTAGGTGGTTAATATAATATTTGATTTGGGGAACATCTTCAATCCTAACATTCTTCATCACATGCAAATTTCCCATCGTGCAATGTAGTAGTAAAATAAGCGTTCGTGTCATTGACACCAGTCGCGTATATTTTGTATATATGTTTTTTCAATGCTGCCTATCTAATTTGTACGTTAAAGAACTAATCGCGTCATTCGGCGAAAGATACGGGTACGCGGTCATGATAATTTTAAAATAGCAAACTTACTTCATCAGATGGAAGATAGTAGCCAACCATTCAGCTTCTCAAGGTTATCCGTGGATAATCTAACGGCTCCCTAAGACTCACCGGGTGGTCATTGATGATGTGAGGCCCCGTGATTGCGTCGTGTAACCTATATCCTCGAGGCACTGTTACTCCGAGATGACAGATGAGACGGATTTGAGTAAAAAAGCTTCGCTCGTGTGATACGAAATGCCGTGCTCATCTAAGCGCGACAAAACAGGCAAGGAGCCTCCGAAAGCGGTTCCAACTCGTCCGAGAACGACTATGTCAACGGCCACAGAGACCGAAAAGGGTATTCGTATAGTAGGACAGAGGATGTGATTAGACTTATAGGCGACACAAAGGCTTGCTACGATACGTCTCAGGGATGGCGAAACGGCATCTCTCGTCGTCGTTTGGATTCCCAGCTCGACAATCGAGACGCAATCTGTTTTGAACTGACTGGTACTGGGCCTAAAAGAGCCGAGGCACCGATACCGAGCGACTTTTATCTCGCCCTCTCGCGTTGATAGAGCTTCATAGGAGCGGGTGACTTTCGGCCAACAGAATGATCGCCCACGTCACCAACAAGCCTAGATAGCCCAGCCCACGAACGTATTATCGTATTTTACTTAGCGAAACAACATCGATAGCGCTAATGCCCTCGTCCCTGTTCACACGTGCTGTGCCTCGTCTAACCAGCTTGCGAGCCTAGACCGACCTGGCGCAATTTCCTTCTTGCCTCCTTGGGGTTGGTGGGTCGTATCCCATCAGAAAATAGTATACTAGAGACTAGAGATATTCTCCGCGGGAAACCTTCTAGCCCTACTATGCAGTAGCTAGAGGAGGAAGCTGAAGCCTAAGCCTATTATCTCGTGCAGGAGAATAAGCATGATAAGAGACTTTTGGACGAAGTCTTTTAAGCTTCTATTTGTCCTTAAGATTTTGTGAGATGGCTTTAATTGCCTACTCTCTTCCGAGTATGACAAAGGTTACTCTAGTATCTCTCGGTCGGAGGTCCTTGATGGCATCTGAAAGAGAAGAGTGACTAGATAAAGTTGGCCTCCGAAGTATCTGTTCCTTCATGGTGGTTAACGTGAGGGTTTAGTCTGTCCAGCTATGTTAGTTGGAGGATATGGTTCTTCCAGCCGGACAAAAAAGTAACAACGCCATTGAAAATTAATACTATATTAGAATATAGAGAGGCGTAGAATAATTATGATTTGACGGGTAAATGACGATATGATCGACTCAAGCCCTTGGAGAAGGAATTCTAAGGTTGTGTTGTTAGTTTGTTCAATACGACGTCTTCGAAAAATAAGATGGAATAAGATAGACGGATGGATGTATCTGCATGTACATTCACTACTGAATACAGCGAACTCGGTCAGGTTCTCGATTATCCACCGACTACCTGGTTCTCCTTTATTTCTTGCCCTTGCCCTTGTAATTGCATTTTTAAGGTTCAGCTGCAAATCTCCCATAGTGCGACTACTGATGCGAGCTGCGAGCATGGAAGTCCGTGTGTTACGGTGCTAAATTATGAGGGGCCTTTCACATTTAAAAGATAATGGATATTGTAAGTTAAAGCTAAGTACCTACATACATATATACAGGTATAGTATAATATAGTTTAAGATACATACTTTAGATATACATCGACATATCTATGCAAGTACATATCCTCAACGTAGTACAATATTACGGTAGGGAAGTTGGTAAGGAACATGTAAGGAAATTGCTTGGTACAGGCGTTACGTACGTCTATACAGGCCACCTGGGCAGCGACCTTATTTCTTAGTGCAATCTCTAGTACCTCTTCCCCGAAATCCTTAGTAGGTTCGCTACTGAAGGAAAAGTACTTTTTATGCTGGACCAGGTACCTAGTGCTTGTTGGAACCGGCTACTGGAGGCTTGGGATTCTTGGCGGCGGGCGCTAAATCATACCCTGTAAAGTGGATAAGGTAGGCTTTTTCATGTGGGTAGGATACTTACCAAGGTACCTAAACCTTGTAGCCGTGCCCTCGCCGAAAAACTAAAAAACCATAAATTAAAAATAAAAATAAAATACCCAGAAAAAATGGAAAAGACCGTTGCAGAATAAGGTAATAAGCTTGAATGGATTGGGAAGCTTATTTTATCCTTATTATTATCGTTAATATCCGTTTTCTACTGCCCTTCCCGCACTTCCCTTGCCTCAAAATTCCATCATCTCGTCATAATTTATTATTACTTTTTTCCCCTACCTAACCTCTATCTATCATCTATCCGTCCACTCTATCTCTATCTATTTCTAAATATCTTTTCCCACCCCTTCCACCCCCCAAAACACCTCTGCCCGATATTGATTGATTAATCGTCCATTCACCTGAACGAGAGAGGCACCGCGTCAATCTATGCTTGTTTCATATCTCGCCACTACCGGTCGTCTCTCGATCTAACCCGAAGGCTGAATATCTCCCTGCAGCCGCAAGCGTGGGATAATACTAGATCGGCATTACCAGGGAATTCCCATTGCAGGGCATCTTTTCGGCACCTTTGCGAGGAACTTGGAGGTGCGTGGGAGGCATAACGAGAGAAAAGCTCAAGCAAAAGAAGAGCGCAATCGACATATTAGATGATTCGAGGCCGTCGCATAAGGAAGATTTAAAACTAGAAGCAAAAAAAAAGTAAGGTGAATTTTGGTCAGCTCCGATATCACATACAATACATGCATACATACAGCAGCAACATTACAGCCTTTGTTTCTGAGACCACACCTTATTATTTTTATTCTATTATTTATTTCCTCCATCTACTCTCTTTTTCATCAGCAAGGGTCTTTAGAAACGGAGCTATCTCGTTAGTTTCAACTTCACACGTGTCCAGCCACCACCCCAAGCTTAAAATTATTATTCCCTGGTCAGCTCCGCGAAAGAGGCTTTGATAACGCTATTTGCTGACTCGGTCTTGGGGAATTCAGCAGTCACTTACTGTCAATTACTCACCCATCAACCAATACCCGCTGCGAACCTTAACTTACTATCTGCCCACTAAACGCTGGAGACGGCCAACGTTATCAAGAGCAATCCCCGGCCCAAGAAACTTAAAAGTGCAGCTGCAGCAGCTAAGTAAGTACCTACCTAAACCCAATACCTAAATTTAAATTCAGGTCAGCAGCTTCCTAAACACACCATTGAAGATTGAAGGACAATAGTTTGAATTTTATAATACTTGCCATTATCTCACGTTAGATGTTTTCCCTTTTTATTTTTAAAAGAACAAAGCCATCCTTATTTCTATTGCTCTGTTTCTATTTCCAAATTTTATTTCTATTCCGAATTCAAAAGTCACAAGTCAAAAATCAAGATTTAAGATTTGCATAGCTACCCGATCGATCAATTACTTACATGAACTGCAGTCCGCTTCTGGAGTTTATTTCTATAGCCTTGTTGCCCCGCGGATCGCGGAATCTTATTACAACTTAAGGTTCTTCTAGCCCAAAAGTCATTTATTCGGGAGCCCCACTTGTCTCCGTCGACTTTTAGGCCACCAATTTTCTAGAGCCAAATACTACCACTACCACTACCACATCCGCCACGTCTAACCGTAACTCTCGCATATCCCGAGAAGACGCCTTCGGGAGATTTCTATCGCCTGGTTGGGTTCACTTTTTTTTTTTTTTTTTTTTTTTTTCTCTTGGCTTGGAGTGACATTATCGGAGAAACCGTCTATGACCTGCCATCAGAAATCCTCGGCAACATCCAACTATATCAATTAGATCTCCCTTTTTCACCCGACACTCTGTACGCCGGTTTCGACTTGATTCTGCGCCGAGCATTCAACGAGGCTTCGTCATCTTTAACTTAGGATCCCTTTACTAATTTCATCACGGCCTAGGGCCAGCCACTAATTTAGGTAAGTACTATTTCTTTCGTATTACGCTTATGAACAAAACCGAATTTTTTGCGCTTCCCGTGGTCTATTTTATATCAAGTTTGAACTACGACCCAAGCGGTTATAATCGAGTCATATGAGATGATGTACTTTCCATCATCTCACACATACAATTATGGCTTGGTCAAGTCGAATGCGACCAATTTTACAAATACGAAAACCCAATATATGGTTGAATAGTACTCAAGCGATAACTACAATTGGCACACTATTTCCCGGTCACCCCGTCTATACTATGACCAAATTCCCCATTAATAATGCTACGAAAAAAACAGAGAAAAAAGTTATAATGCGCATGTTACACTAAATTCCATTTGTGCGGCACAGTTCATACTCAACACGTCTCGCAAATCTGTTAGAATACGCATGCCACTCCGCCGCATTAGGAGGATCAAGGCTCTTATTTCATCGTACATCGATTATTAAAATAGCTAGCTAACTTGCGAACTCGGGCAGGGATCCACGGGTCTGAACATCTCGGGTCTAGCTTCGTAACGTAAGGGTAATTAGTACTCTAGGGCCTGCACTATCGACTCGAGTTGCCCGCAATTCAGAAACGCCAAGCTAGCACGCGCATTCTCGCGGCGTGAGCTAACGGGGCCAGGGTCGATTCTAACCACGCAAGCCCTTCGTTATCCACATCAACAGGTCTTCAGCTGCCCACCGTCTGAATGACCCAGCGTTAAAGTTGATGTGGTGGAAGGGCGGGATTACGAGACCTAATTAATTTCTCGACGGAGGATTTAGGAAGTATATTACTACAACTTCCACCCATTCAACCTTAACCCACCGACCTTTTTTTTTTTTTTAATATATTCATAATTCGTCTTTCCACAAGCACCATGGGGGAGATGGAAACCTACCACGGCTATGTCCGCACACCCGCGGACGCCATCAAGTTATTTGAAGCCTGCAGATTAGGCTTACTGCCTCGAGTTCAGAGGCGATTATCAGAGAAAGAACGACAGTCCATCAGGTCAGGCTCGGTTTTCGTATGGGATGAGAGGGAGGCTGGCATGCGCAGATGGACGGACGGTAAATCATGGAGCGCAAGCAGAGTTTCGGGCAGTTTTCTCACGTATAGAGAAATGGAAGGCAAGCGAGGGACTACATTTGGTGCTTCGAGACGAAGTAATGGGAGGACACCGGACAGCGGTCGACTTAGTGACGAAGACCCCGACGGCGAACCCGAAGGATACCGATACAAAGCAGATGGACTGATGAAGCAATCATTCAGCATTACAACGTCTCAAGGTCAACACCTTCATCTAATCTCATATTATTCTAGACCGCATGCTGGTGCTCCCGATCTCCCTCAACCGAGCTCCGATCCCCAACTCCGACATATTACTCCCGCGAAAGGCATGTACCCCGAATCAAGCTTACACGACACCAACCCGCCTGCCTTAACAAGAGCCCCCATGCAGTCGTATGCCAACCATAGCACTCCAGTCGAGCAACCGAGTTACAACGGTTATGGTGGTCCTCAATGGGGATCGCCAGCGTGGCCGAACCCGAACCCGAACCCAAATCCAAACCCCAATCATTGGCCGCCTTCACCTAACCACACTCCGCCTTGGGGACGTACAGGAAGGCATACTCCAGAAGCGAAGCCTCAAGCGCGGCCTCCGCCGCAACAGCAACCACAAAGGCCCCCACAACTTCCCCCATTGCCGCCGACCTCCGCGCCGTCCGCACAAGCCGCCATTTATTCTAAGGGCCATGGATACGAATATGACCGGCTACCTCCTCCTGCCGCGAATAGGCCCTACCCAATGCCTGGGCGTGCTCAGAGCCTGTCTCCACAATCACAACACCTTCAAGTTCAAGCCGCGCAAGCTGCACAACAAGCTGCGGCACAGGCAGAACAAGCTGCACAAGCCGCCCGAGTTGCGCAGGCAGCGCAAGCCGCACAGGCTGTTATTGACCCGCGTTTGGCGGCGACAAGCGCGCGAAACCCGCAAGGACCACTTCCCGCGATACCTTCAGCATCTCGAGGACTAACACCCCCAAGGACGCATTCCGTGTCACCGCCGAGGACGATAAGCGCGGAGAGTGTCAATGGCAACGTTAATAAGGCGAGCTTATCGGCGCTTCTTAATCGGACACCAGCAAACTCCGAACCTAACAGCGCAAACCCGGGGAGCAACAATAGTGCTGGTAGCTCACCCAGGGCGCTCTCCGAACGGACACCCAGCGGATCAAATAGCAATGGCGTATTCGGGAGCGAGGATTCCAAGGCAATCCTCTCTCTAAACCGAAACCTCTGCATCTAAAGTTATGGGAAAGAAGGATACTGCATCAACCCGGCGTTAAAAAAATTGCATTTCTGATCGACGGCGGTCTCAAGTTCTTTTTCTTCTCGAAACGAGTAATTTCCTTTATTGTCGATTAGGCATCCTCAGCGGGATGGAGTTACGGTTGCTACTCCGGGCGGTTACGAAAGAGCACTGGTAATTCCATATATTGATTCCTACGGCTTCGTAAATATCTTTGTTACGTACAGTGAATGCCGGCGCCATGGGCGACTCGACATGTCTCGGGGCCTCAGGGCATAACATGGTTAAGCAAAAAGAATAGGACCTGGAGGGGGTGGCTCGACAGTGAGCAATACGATACCACTGAATTAGAGCGTTTGCTTTAGCTAGCTACTACACTACATTATTGCAATATCTTTCAATTTTTTTCAATCTACCCAAGTGTCTCCCGAATTCCCTGCTGTATGTCAACCATGTCCTAGATTAGTGTTAGAACAAAGTGTGGTTCGTAAGGGAGAAGCAGCATGTGAGGCTAAGGAGCTCTGCAGGGATTTATGATCGGCGATGTACCGATCCCCTGTAACGCATCCCGTTTATTCTTTCCTGCATGCCTGCGGCAACTTATCCAATCTGTATGTCAAGCATTTCGACAACGGCGTATAACCCTGGTCTAGCTATTTCTTTCATTTCTACGATCACCAACTCAAAATCTCAACCAACCTACATGTTCATGCCGCATAACGAATTATGGCCTAGTCCCTCTCCACATCGTTCCATTCTGCGGCGCGTGCGACATTATTACTTGATTGGCCCCATCTCTGATTTACTGCTTTTGATATAATCGCATTCTTTAATCCATCGCGTTTCCTTTCTGGGCTTCGAGGTTATTACTTGGGGACGTGAGTGGAGAGAAGAATGGAATGAAGGATGCGGAGACTTATTCCTTTCCCGATGCTCTAAAACCCCTGCTCTTGGATTGATAATAGCCTACGTGCCCGTGAAGCCATTACCAATGCTCGCGTGCCGAACAGCGAATATGGAAAGAAGCTTAGAAACTCAACACTCAAGACTAAGGACACTTCACCTTACAAACACGAAGAGTTACATACATACATACATACATTCATCTTACCTGTATTTATTATAGTGTGATCCATCATGGACCCATCCTCGTGCTGTAATTGTATGATATCTGCAACATACCTTATACGCGCATGCCATGATCGTGTTTTGGTTTGTACGTAAGTAGTGTAGCAGCACTAAGGTGCGATATGTGCTCTCTTCTCCCAACAGAGACAACAAGAGGTGAGGTTTCGTTTCACTTTCTTCTTCGCATGTTCCATTTTTTGCTCGTGCGCATCTCCTTGTTTCCCCTACCTAGGCACCCCTACATTCCCCTTGCCTGCGTGGTTAGGTCTCCACAATCGAGACAGCACTCAAAACCAACATGTGGATAACTAACCATGTTCTTATTAAGATTGTTAGATGCAACGGGTTCTTCGTTTAACTTAACTAAACTACCTCATACCAGACCCTAGTAATACCTTATCTGGATATTCAGGTAAGGTTATTAATTCTATTTTATGTATCCCCATATCCAGTCTTCTCGGTTCAAGGACCGAGTCCCCTGTCCTGCTCCATGCTTCCCTCCTTTACGTAGAAATGCCACTTAAGTAAATATCGGCATATAACCAATGCAACCCTCTCGCCGTCTCCCTACTTTAATTTTAAGTGCTTATAACCAGTGACTTCGAAACAGGGATTCTAACAATGTTAGGTGTTATCCTAGCCCTGGTTCTGCCGTGGAGCCGGTAGTTGGTGGCAATTTATAAACCTTCCTATCTTGACCATTTACGGCTGCTATGTATGGAAGCGGGATTTTTATTATTAAAAACGTTAAGATTTACATGTAACTCTTCTCTTTCAAAACGATCTACACTCTCCCTCCTTAACTTTAAAAGTTTCCAGAAGGTTAAAGATTAGCGCCGCCGATCGGCTTGCCAATGACGTCAATCCTTGTGTGACCTTGAACGCTTTTTTCTTTTTTTCTTTTTTTTTTTCCTCGCGACAAAACATGCCTGCCGGGTTAGCTTAGGTGGGGGAATATACCGCCGCAGCCAATCAGCGCATTGTCTTTAGCTATGGTACTTTGGTACTTACGGGGTAGCGATCGAGTTAAAGCGTTTCTTCGACCTACCGGTGGGGGGGCGGAAACTCAAACTCAAACTTTATGTCTATTCCTATTTCTATTTCTACGGCTATCCCTTGTACATTAATTATACATTATCTATTCAATTATATGAACTTGAATTAAGCTATACTATTTCGATATATTGCAGACGTCGATCTAATGTTAGGTAATCCTGGTGGTACCCATGTACCCTCATGGGTAGAAGCGCGTGCATGTGCGCATCGCAAGTTGGGAATACACTCATCCTTGTTGCCATGTTGGAACTTTTGGTCAAAACACACATCCTTAAAGGATGAGTATACAAAATTCTTGTCGCTGTGCCGCGCACAGTTTGAAGGAGGCGCAATGACGCATGTATGCAAGTAATATCAATATTCCTGGGCGAGTCACGGGTTGTCAGGGGAATGCATCTACATGTGACGTACATGAAATATTATCAGTAATATTATGTAATTCTAAATGGGAACATGGCGGTAAAGATCCATGTGTTGGTTGCACAGCGGCGCGTAACATATCCAGGGAGGTAATCTACCTACTCAACTATAACTTAACAAGATCCGCGTCTAGTTTACCATCAAGATGACAAAGAAGGCAAAGACGAGCAAAATAACAAAATGACATATCATTCGTTTATAATTAGCAAGACTCTCGGTATATTTTAATGGGTAGGGGGACGAACCTGGGGAATCTGTTCTACCAGGTATTGATTTTCTACGATCCAGGTATTTCCGGAGAAATCCTAGTTTTATTTACTAGGGCAAAGACAATATGCATAAAAATGCCTCGCTCATCTACGCCGTCTTCTTGCAGCTGGAGATTGCACATCGTTCTCGTTCTTATGCGTCCACGTATGGTGTCCGTTACCTTGGCATTGGGTATCAATGACCTATCGTCACCGAGATCGAACTGGCCAGAATGCCTATTCATCTGCTTTGCCGCCTGTAGGGAGGAGCCTCAAGGCATCACGTAAACGCAAGGCTGTGGCGGTCAATCGTTTCGCTAACAAAGTCTCATCGTCGGCGTCCGGGACCGGACTCTACGATTTAGTATAGCATTTCGGTTATCAAATATGATTCGAAGGGAATAACTATCCACCTTTATTATTATTGGACATGGAGTTTATAGCGCCAACTACGTGTTTAATATAACCAACAAGATACATCGTAATTGCCAATCATTAGTGACATGTCGATGGGGTGCCTAAAAATTTACTCATGGTTACTTCTTATATTTGTCAATGAAGTGCTATTTTAAGTCGTTCACAGTGTAGAATTCGATGTTCATTCCAACCTAGAGATATAGGATATCAACCTTTTAGGGTAAGCTGGCTATCGAAATTTTCATAGCATACTAGGTAGCATGTCTATTTCTTGACTCCATCCAATTTCCATCCTAAAACAAGATACAACAGACTATAGGACAACGAAAATAGATACGTTTCTCGTCTATGGGGCTCTATTATAATTTTTTTTAACCCACAAGAACGAACCTAAGTACCACGGCTAAGGAACTTTTCACTGGGTTGTCGGTGTCTATATGAGTTCATCCGAGCTAATTGTAGGATTGTGACCGTTGGTATCTTGCGGGTCTTCTCTCCATACTCCGGAAAAATCCCGCAGAGCTAATGGGCCCACGATTGCGAGGTTGGGGTTGACATTTGCCTGGGGTAACAAATTTTCTGACCGAAGAGCCGCAACGGTTATGACGTCGAAGGAATAGATACCTAGGTAGGTTATAATCTTAACTATACCCAGTTTCATAAATCTCCCCTTGGTCACTAGGTAATGCTAAACAAAGCTATTTTTAGGATTGTGATGAGATTAGGTATGTTTGTGGTTAGAATTATCGTGGCCATCACGGTTGTCTTGACGATGGAAATATGTATCTACTATCTTAAACCTACCTAGGCACTCACAATATGTCTATAGAAGACCTACCATCCATGTACTTAGTTTAGCATCCACAGTGATCGCCAGAAGCCTTACTGTTCAGCTTCTGAGGTAACTTGCCTTTGTATGACGCGTAGTAACATAGATATAACTGATCAAAAACGGTTTATTTGAAATTAAAAATAACTACAACGGTTAAACGTGTTAAGTTATATTCCGTAAATATCTCAATTTATTATACGTATTTTCAGATACGTAGAATATCATATGAAGCTATGATCGCGTGTAGCCAGGCTGTAAGTAGTTGAGCTGTATGAAGCGATACATCTTGGGGAGTATCGGTAGAACCCCTTATCGCCAATACAGGGACAGGGGAGCTCATGGAACAAAGAGGCTACCTAGGTACTTGTGTATGTATACGATAGTTCCCGTAGCAGGTACCTGCGATCTCTTTGCGCAACAACAGAGTTCTTAACCCTCTATATGGTTGGTCTCATGACACAGGCAACGGAATATCTCTTTGTGGACTCTTAGGACTAAAGATCGCATATTCTTAAAGCTTGGTAACTAGGTATACTATTTGAGGAGGTTGGGTATTCCGCCCCTATTTTAGTCAACGGTATAGAGAAGATGGTGCGTTTGAGATAATAAAGATCCTACTACCCACAGGGCTTATAATGTAGGCAACGTAGAAATATTGTTGTATGTCTAGGTAGTGACCTTTGTATATTTTCTCTTAGCCTGAATCTATTTATATGTCCCTTTACCTAGGTATGGTGAGTTGAGTATTAAAATCACTCAATCGTAGAATCCCATGTTTTTAACTAGTAAGAAGGCCGCCACGAAATATTTGGCCCAGGATAGTAATTATTTACCCTAGTACCCATATATCTCGCTGAAGACATGGTGGTGATATCCTCGAATCTCAAGTCTAACGGGTAAGGTCTTACTCCATCAACAAGTTTGGTACATCCACTGGGTATACACATGGTAGATTTGCTAGCTTAGCACACGAAGCTCCATTACGACTATGTTAACTCATGTATCGTCGCTCTAACATCGTGCGATGCGAGATCAAAGGGGAAAATCACGGATTCCGGTACATGAAGCTGGGCTCAAGTCTTGCTCAGGTTTGCTCGTGTAGAGCACTACGAGGTCCCTCGAGATTGCTGTGACATTGAGACGGTGTAGGAGTGGTTTGCATTGAGATAGATTTTGTGTGGAATACTTAGTTGAGGAATTTTAGGGTCTGTCGTGATTCCTGGGCTTCTGTAGTTGGGTATTGGCTGTATTCTGTAATGTTGTTCCTCAGAAAGCGTTGCGCGCCAAATTATTGCCGATGTCTATTTGAATTAAAATGATAGTCTAAATGCATTCGGTCTATTATATTGGGACCGGAAGCCCTTTCATGATCTCATTACCATCGTCACTCTACCCCTTTTATGTTTCCCCTATTAAGTGAGTTCTCTATCATAATAAAAGCCCCGACCCCTAAGGCTGGAACGTAAAAGCAAAACATACCTATTTAGCAACGTGATGCTTAGCTAGGCCCATGGCGAACTACAGGTATGCTGAGCCCTTCACGGCAGGCATTGTCGATTGTAATAGTTATAGTCGAGCGCATCGAGAACCCCGGCTAGATGGACCACAGTAGCCATGACCACGAGCACGTGGAATATCTGATGAGAAGATCCGAATATATCGAAGGTTCCTGGCTTAACGCTTTCGGGGAACCTAGTCTGCGATCGGCCATGATTGCATTAGTAACTGGACCACTTTCGCTTTTCCTTTGTTGTGGCGATTAGGTGGAGGGGGGTACTCCGGCGGCTACGGAAATGGTACAACATAGAAAGCATGTAACCAACTTACACCGTACACGACAGCCCCAAGAAGGAATAAACCACCTTCGGCAAGATAATATGCTAGACCTGATTGCTTCATCATTTGCCTGAACCCGAACATGCAGATCCCGTGAATGATTGGTGCCAGGCCGGATAGCCCTGTGCAGACAAACGTCAGTAGACGTAGGGTGCGCCACCGCGGGCCTTGAAATATAGGCGCGACCACAATGACGATGGATGCTGCCGCAAGTGATCCACTCTGTAGGAATGGTGAGAATCTGTTAGTTTGATATTGGTCGATTGAGTAAACTTGATTAGGTTTGGTGTTTGATTATCCGCTGGGAGCCAAGGGGTTCAAGTGTAATTCCGGGTCGCTTGAGAACAAGAGAAATAGATCAACTACTTGCCATGGACCAATAAATCTTCCTCTCCAGCGTCTCACACCAGAAGCCGACGTAGATTCCAGAGACGAAAGACCCCAAGATCAAAAGGATAATCCCGACGAAATCGAAGCGAAGCCAAAGTGCTTCAACCTGACGCGAATGACACATCAGGGTATGGTATGCGCTCGAGAGGCCGAGGCATGCTACTGCAGAAAGCAACAGAGCCGCGACAACTCCGGCATCGCCACTACTACGCTGCTGTAGACGGGCAAAAACGTAGGCTAACCCAGTGACCAGTAACGCTGCTGCCGGGATCAGATGTGTATAAATGTTCATCGTCTCATTGTGTATATACATCCAACTAGCGAAACAGGCCCGTACGGATTGCAGCACCGGTCGGTAGCCCCGCCGGATGTATGGATTGTCTTGGTACCATTCTGGAATTTCACTATAAGATAGCAATGCGTGGCGGCGATCCTTATGCGGCTCGTACTGGGGACTTTTCGTTGAAATTTCGGTGCTGCTGAAACTTGGTAGCTTCTTCTCATCCGATGACGATCGATCCCCGGTGGACGAGCCACGGCAGGTGTTGGTATCTGTTGATGGCGGTAACATCATTGTATATCTTGTTCGTTAGGAAAAAGAGCGGACACGAAAGATAATAATCAATTCTTTCCGTCTTGCCTTTCCCACCCTTCTATCTTCGGGTAATACCCTTGAGCTAGTCGGCATATGTATATAGATCGGAACGGCGGGCGGGGTCGACGATCAGTTTTGCGGTTTGGAAATCTGGTAACTTTTTCGCATGAATGAGAGCGCAAAAAGAACTTGTACCCCAGCAAGGAAATCGATTACAAAATGGGAATGCCTCGATTGTCCAATGATACGATGGTATTGCTTGCAGATGATGACATCATTTCCAGCATGAAAGCCCCTTTTAACCAGGGTAGGTCATTATCTCCGAAGATCTCGGGCGGACATGAAACCGAGAAGGGTTGCTTGCTCCGAATGTTAAAGCATCCTAGCATCCTTACCTCACTTTTAACGACAGTATGATGCTTTTATTTGTCTGCTATGAAGAATCGAACTCGACTCTGAACCCCTTTAAGAGCTCAAGTGAACTGATATAATAGAATGAATATATGGGCATAGCTATATGCGGCTTCGGCTTACTGCAAATTATAATGGGAAGAGAGTGGTAGTTTCGAACTTGAAATGCTTGCGATTCAGGGGTTGCCTACGGAATGGTCCTGGATCTATTCTGCCTTCTATTGATGATAGGCACTTCCTCACTTGAGCATTTTTGTGGGATATTTGATATTGCTGGTTATGGCGGCCACTTGGGAATTTTCCGGTCGTGAAAATGCCCGGAGACGGAACGTAATAAATATCAAACAATTGTAATAATTGATCGAGAGCCATCATGAATTGCTTGAAGTATCAAAGCAATCACCGAGCGCCAAACCCACGTGGTAAATCCCTAAGTCGGCGTGCGCCTTGTCAACTAGGGTTGGCCGCGACGTAGCCCGACTTCGTGGCATTCAATAATTGAATCTCCTAACGGGGGAAATGTTGAAAAATCCACTTCATTTGACTTCGAACATGTTTCATTGGGGTATGATATTTGCGATGAATGATGCTTCATCGATTAGATCGTAGATCCGATGACTGTAATGTGCTTGGGCGAATAAAATTTTAGTGAATCCTCATTGGGTCGCCGGCTGCTCATCCGGGAGCACCTAATTGTAAGATGTGTGCAATAGACTAGCTTCACACAATTTTCGCTGTGAATAACTGTGATCGCGACCGGGAATTGTCTGCCTGAGTGTGTGGTTTGTTTGTTGGAGTTGAATGGCTTAGTATGAGACTTTTGTTGATTGATAGTTACTAAGAAGCGATGTTTGGTGCTGCTAGCTGCGTGGCGCGTTTTCACCAGGATAGGGGGGTACATACGTGACCTGAAACAAAATGTTGTTTAGGCTTGGTCGAGGATTGCGGTTTGTCCGTAAATTTCATCTCATGTTCATCTACCCGCTCGTTGAAAGTGCGTAGTACTGAGGGGAGACCTTTCCCAGTTCCTAGGCTGGATGAATATGGCCGAAGAAGCTGGGATGGTAACTGCATGGAAAAAGCCTCGAATCTCATACCGCGGCACATAACCCAAAAATAATGGCCGACACTGATAAACATTCTTTTCGTAATTTGTCAGATCTGTAACGTCGTGTACTGGATGTTGAATACCCATCGAGACTTGACATATTGTTTGAAAACCCATTGCGGAGTGCTTCACTTGTCAGCTCAGCCCGTCATTATATCCTGGAGTGAATTCAGATGGTGTTTTCATTCTGAGCTGTAATAAGTGAATCTTCGGTCCCTAGCACAGATTTGGACTGATAGCCCTCCGCGACGTAACTGATTGACAACTATCAGTTAATTGAGAAAATGTCGTGGTCACGCCGGGAGGTTGAAGTGTTGGCGGATCATATGGATGACGTGGACATCGTGATGGCGAATCATAACCCCACATAGCCGTAATAGGTCACTGGTCTATTAAGTACCAAAGATGATGACCATAATGGCCAAAAAATCGCGTCTTTGAATGAGTCTAGATTGTCGATGAGGAACAGCGCGGAAAGGGACTGCTCACGTATCTAGGTACGCAGGGAGGATGATGTTGTTGTTTCTGCCTGCAGTCTCCTCATGCCTGAGAATGTGGCTCCTCTGTGCCACGCAACGTGACAAACATAACTGTCTTTGGGCGTTGAGTCCTAATCATTGAGCTGAAATTTTGAAAGTCTGTCAAAACAAGGAAGGTCGATTCTCCATGCATTCAACTTGATGTAAAAGTAGTCTCGTAACCCTGGGTTGGCGTTGTCGTGATATTTGACGCGCCAAATGGTGTCCTAAAACGCGTACTGAGAAAATCCACCTCGCATCCATTACGATGTACTAGATCTAGATAAGGGTTAAATTGTAGGGAAAAAATCGTAAAATTGAAAAAGAATTAATTCCCGAAGCATCGAGGTATCATATTATAGGATATATGTATGGAGTACAGTATGTGCAGACCAAATAGTCGGGGTGATGCAAAATGTGTAGATAGCCTCATGTTGTAAGTGGGTGTGGGAGCTTGAATCGCAAAGGGGGGAACATAGACAGGAAAAAAACGCAACAAAAATTCTTGGGACTGCAAAAAAGCAATGCGCTACAATTACAACTTGAAAGATAGCCAATTGACAGGAGAATCACAATAAGCAAATTTTAGAAGGCAATGCATGGGCTGTGCGGTCAACATATCGAATGCGACCGAAAGTGATGAAAATGTCAAACGGCCGAAAACCAAACGAAGATACTCGGGAATCGGCTGGGTATATAGTTTGATATTGGATATTAGACTAAGCATTCTTTCCGATTACCTAAATTGGGCTACTAGTATAGAATAACAGATGATGACTCAATCAATCGCCTGATTTAAAGAAGTGTGGAAGGCATGAGGAAAGAAGAGGGAGAAAGGAAGAACGAAAAAAAGAGGATGGGGGAAGGGGGGAACGGTGGGAGAGTTTGGTGAGAGAAAGCTCGAGTCTCGAGCAGGCGCATGATTTGGATCGAGGTGAGTTAAGAGCGTGACACAAAGAACTAAAAAAAATAAAATAAAAATAATAAAATAAAATAATAAAAAGAGGTAGGTAAAGGTGAGCTGTTGCTAAGCTTCGACCAATCAAAAAATTCGACATTATGGGATCCGCCTTCATCGAACTGGGGAAATATCCCAGACACCTCGAGAGGTCCAAAATCAGTATCGAATTAGTCCTTCCAGGCCATTTAACTGGTCGATGGTGGGCTGTGCATGAGGTGCATCAGTTACACATGGTTGAGTCTAAACTTGAACGGGAAAGAGTCTAGACGTTTCAGTGAGATAATGCAACGTTGAAGGCTAAAAGACAGAAAGAGCGCGATCGGGTTTAAATGTATGGGTAGGCGTGGAAGGCATGGTACGTGCCCTGTTGGCACCCATTTTTATTATTTTATCGTTATTGTTAGAGTATTATTATTTTTTTTTAGTGCCAGCGGATTAGGTATTTTTTGGGGAAGGGGGGTAGCTAGAGGGGGGTCAAAAAAAAAGGGAAGCACCAATCCTCTGCCGCAGCTGATTGTACTAGTTTACTGATTGTGCACAACCCCCCGCCTAGTATATAAACAACCTCCCCTTTCTCGCTGTCGCGCCCCAACTGAATACCTCCCTCCCTCTCGTTTCCTCTAGACATTTTCCACCACCACATAATAGTAACATTTTCGTCAGCGACTATATCTATCTGAATTCAATCGAAGATCGATTGATCAAGCTAAATTTACAGTCCACAACCGAGATAACACGTTATCAAATTCCAAACCAAAACTTCATTCGCAATGGGTCCCAAGAAGGCAGACGGAGCTTCCAAGCCCAAGAGCACTCATGCTTCTTACCAAGTATGTACTACTACGACACGAATCGGCTTTTCATTGAAGCGCGTTTGAGACTAACGGATTATAGGACATGATCACTGATGCTATTGTTCATGTAATTATTCCCATTCCTTTGCTTCCGGCGCATCTCGTGTCGGTGGTTGGTGGTTGGTGGTCGGGTTGGGCTGCCGCGTTGCGTGGTTATTACCAACGCAACACCCAACCCTTACACTAGGACTTTCTATTTAACTTCATCAGATGACCATGCTGACGCGTCTTTTTCAATCGCACAGCTTAAGGAACGAAATGGTTCTAGGTATGCTTTCATTTTCTTCATTTACACACTATTCAACGTACCCACTTTTTTACTACCGTTTTCGTCTCAAACAAAAGCTAACCCTAACATAGCCGTCAACAACTCAAGAAATATGTTAAGGCAAACAACACCATCAACGTTACAGACAAGATGTTCGACTCTCTATTCAACAAGGCCTTGAAGGCTGGTGTTGACAAGGGCATCTTCGAGCAACCCAAGGGTATGTTAATTTGCCATTCCATGATGCGATTGTCATGGAAATTTTTTCGGCCCGAATGCTAATTTGTTTTAGGACCTTCTGGTGGTACCAAGCTCTCCAAGAAGTCTAAGCCCGCTGCTACCAAGCCTGCTGCTAAGAAGGAGACCGAGAAAGACGCCCCAAAGAAGGCTGCTCCCAAGAAGGAGACCACTAAGAAGGCTGCGGCACCGAAAAAGGCCGCCGCCCCCAAGAAGGAGGCTACTGAGAAGAAGGCGGCTCCCAAGAAAGTTGCTGCTCCCAAGAAGGCTCCCGCCACTAAGAAAGCCTCCACCAAGAAGGATGTAAGTTTTACTACGGACATGACTCAATAATGTCGCATTATCTAATGGATCTAGGCTCCCGCTGCTGAGGAAAAGCCCGCCGCCTTGACAAAGACTAAGTCTGGCCGAGTCGCCAAGACAGCCTCTAAGCCAGCTACCAAGAAGGCCGCACCGAAGAAGGCTGCAGCGCCGAAGAAAGAAAAGACGCCAAAGAAGGAGGCCAAGGCTGAAGCCGCGGCATGAGCATTTGCTTCTTGATTTGTGTGTTCGGTCTTCGGTTTGTATGCTGGGGTTCGGCGGTCTACTGGCGTTCAGGAAACAAGGGAACAAAGTGTTACGTGCGCCATTTTTTACGCGCGGCGAACAGTGGTTTAGGGTCGTGATTTTGGCAAGGGTTTAGCAGGAACAATGAAGGGAGGGTGGTAACGGTCTCGGGAGCGTTGCGAGTGTCCGATAATACCCTCTACGGTGCAAGTTGCCCAGGCGCATGTGCATACTGTACGACCCCTCGCGGAATCACGATTTCGGGTTGGATTGCACATATTCCCAGTCATGGCATCTGTTAGGAGGGGTTCGGAAACTGACGACATGATGAAGTACACTTGTACATGTAATTATACCAATAACGAAGGGCTTCTGCATGGCTTATTTTCCAAGCTGGCTTTTTCTAATCTTGCTATTTTCAATTGTGCTGTTGCTTGCTGCGATGATGTGATATGAAACCCCGAGTTGACGCGTCTGTTTATGATCCACCTTGTTTACATTATGTCCTGGGTGGATTGCAGGGGTTCTTGTCGATGCTGATAGTGGTTATCACGTGTTACCCAGTAGAGGCGCTACCTTAGTCATATAAGTGGATACTTGGTATGTCTTTGTCTCCACTTGCCGCTTCTTGAAATCCCATGATCCTAGACGATCGTTTATTCGTGTCGAATGATATGGAGCTATTCCTATTTTCAATGTGGGTAAACTACGTATATGTATGGCATGACAAGTTGAGTGGAAATATGCGAAAAATTGAAGATCTTAAGCCAGCTTTTCTGTATGTCTAGAGCCTGATGCGAGCGTTCATGCGCCAAACCACCGGTTTGAACTGCGCTACATGCGCCGGTAACAAGTGTTAAATGGATGCATTACCCACATATGTCTACTTTGTGCGACAGTACCCTGAGCAAGGAGATAATATTGATCTTAATGATTGTTAGATGTCAGATTTTGATATAAATATCTTGCTGAGAGAATAGATAGGTGAGTTAGACTATAAGTTACATACCTAATGTATCTGGAAATAGCACCCCTATCAATACATACATATGTAGTACCTGTAGAAGGAACTGAGGGGTTCGATCGTTAAGACGTTAGAGTTCCCCACAGAATTAGACTTGGACTTAGTGAGTTAAGTTATGAGTTGCAGTGGACAAATCAGGCCTAATCGTCCATGTATTTCAGATCTGGCATAGTACAGTTAGGTACATTTACTAAAACCTTTGTCTTTTTCGCGCAAATCTATTTCGTACCTAGTCACATTTCTCATACACTTTTCCCTACTAGGACATCCCATGTGATTCAATTCTGTAAATCTATCACACTTGCTTCATCAAATCATTGTTCCTTTTTTTTCAATAGCCCATCTTTGGAATATTGAAATGTACACATAAACATGGAGCCTCGGATCAGCTAAGTATATTGGTACTCCGTAACCGTCCGCGTTTTTATCGCTTTCAATAGAACGGGACAGTGTTGTAACCCGATAATCCGTTACTGAGTACCGAAACTTCCGAAGATCCCCAGAGGCGGGTTATATTGGTTAGGACTGGTTAGTCAATGTTGCTAAGCTTACATACAGTGTTTTCCCACTGTATGTCGTAGTCTGGAGGGGGATCTACACCTACCCACGATACTACAACGCGGCATCAACGTCGACCCAACGAACAACCCCCACATCATATAACTGACCATGGATAGCTCCGTATAGCCTCGCTTCTTATTTATTGCTTCTTTGCATGTTTCGCCCACGTTGTGTTTCCTCCGGCATCGCGCCAACTCATCATGTCTTCTAAAGACCCATCCTTCAGCTCCAACAATCCTTTTCGCCGGAAGTTGGGCAGTCCCTCCGTTTCTACCGAAAAACCCGCCCTAGCACCTACTTCGAGTCACGATAAATCATTCAATGCTGCTCCACGACCACCTTTCACCACCTTTAGGTCGGTTGTATCAGACGATGGGAGGCGTAATGTGCAGGAGAGGGCAGATGCGGGCGAGGCAGCATCGTTGCAGCCTAAACCGAAGAAAATCGTAAAAAAAGTCCGCGTTCAATCACCACCACCATCCTCACCCGAGGACAGTACACCTACGACTCGCTTCCCCCCGATTGACGATGACGAAGAGGATGAAGATGAAGACGACGACGATGATGATATTGATGGTGGTGACAGCAGCGATTCACGAGATTACGAGGAACATTTTGAACCGATCAAGAAGGGATCGATTGCCACTCAGTATAGAGATAGGGATAGCCTCGAAACCGCACAAGTAGGGCCACCTGCAAATCCCTTTTCGAAAACATTGCAGGACTTGGAACGAACAGGACAAGGACAAGATGAGAATGCACCCCCGGCCGGGGTGACAGCAAAAAGAGGTCTTGATGTTGACTCATTCAAGAAATTATTATTAACCGGCTATGCAAGTATTCCAGGGCCATCGCTTGCGTCAACATCCAAACCAGGAGGGGATTCAGGGGGCTCAGCACATCCACAAGCCCATTTACTCGACGGTGCTAGCAATACGGATGCGAGCTCGGTGTCCCGCCAATCCATATTTGACGCTATATTACAGCAAGATACCCCTCGAACGTCTCACGAGATATCCGAACCGGAAGACCCGGAGGAGCGAAGAGGCATCCTACCTACATCGCCCCTTTCGTCTCTGCCCTCTGCCTCGGCAAGGAAGAAGCCACCTCCCCCCAGCTCCCGACATGGTAAACTCATCAAAATTGAGTTAGGAGCAGACGCAGAAACCCGTGCAGCCAAAGATTCATCACCTCCCGTGTCCGTCAGCAACATATCTCTCCCTCCTATCGCACCACCTCGAAAATCCAACTCACACTCCGCCACTTTATCACAAGCCTCGCACCTAGCAACTGATGTGAACAAGCCGCTTCCATCAACTCCATTTCGCCCATCTGTGGAGGAGGCTGTCGACTCCCCATTCGACCGCGAAGCTATAGGCAAGGTGCCAGAACCATTTGCTGACCTACAGACTAACCCTCGGCCCCCAACGCCGCCCGTTGCTACCCGAAGCCGATCCGTATCTAATGGAAGTACACAGCCTCGCAAACCCGCGGCACCACCGCCACGCCGACACGGAAGGAGCGATAGTAGAGGTCCACCGGTCAATACTGCGAACACGGATGAGGATACGCCTCCTAGATCGTCGTTGGAATCGACCCGGTCGCAGACTAGCAGCTTACGCGCAAACGTTCCGGCGAATACTAACATAAATGTGCCCGCACCACCGCCACCACGCCGGCCAAACCATGCTAGACAGGGAAGTTCGTATACGAGTCCGAATCTTACAGCATTCCCTTCGGTACCTTTAACAAGCCCAGGTATCGGCGAAGCTGAACGCAGCCCCTCAGCGGCGGGGGCCAGTATTTTGGGCGATGGCGAGCAACCAAGGAACGTGTTGGGTTTGGCGACTTTCACCACGAGCAAAGACGGCGTGCCGAAATTATCCCCACCCCCACCACCTCCGACCAGGCAATTGAGTACTAGACGGCCTGCTAGTGTCAGAAGTATGGACTCAGGAAGTGGACCGAGTACGGCAAGGAAAGTGAGCCGGGAGAAGGAAGGTGGGGTCGCTCCCCCCCCTCCACCACCTCCCCCGAGACAACGAGGCAGTAGTCGCGCCAGTGTCGAAACCCCGGCTCCGACTATGGAAGGTGCGAAGCCAAGCGGTGAAACGAGGAAGGAGGGAGTGGCTTCTCCCCAGAGTCCCTCTGGAACGGCGAATGAGAAGCAAGGGCAGGAAATATTGGCGGATATTGATGCGTTGCAGAAAGAGGTCGATGCGTTGATGGGGAAGTATGAGAAAAGTACCACGAGTTAAGGCCTCGGGACACGTTTTCCTTTAGCCTAAGGGACTATATGGTTGAGTCCCTAGGTACCTAGCGGAGACTCACAGTATGTAAGAGTTCTACGAGTGGAATAACCTAGGAGGTATCCTTATTGGAATGGATGTCTACCATCAAATTCGCCGCGCGGTTGGATACGAAGATATGAATTGAAGTACGCGTTACGGGCACCAAGCGTTGATTGATATGTTGAAGTCAGGATTTCCCAGGCGATCCTTGTATAGTAGGTTAATCGTTAATGCCGGACCGTCTTCCTCGGTGGCAAATATGGATAGGGATAGGAATATCGAAGATAGACTGGCCGATGCCGTATGATGATGAGGTGGGAGAGCATAGCGTTTTGGACCTCGGGGAAAGAATGAAGCGTCTATTTTGAAGCATTCCTTGTTCTTCGTGAATTATGTAAGTTCGAAGGGGTTGGTAAGGTCGAGTTTCTTGCGAGTTTGGCTTTGTGCTACCTAGGTACCATACAGTAAGTGCTATAATGGATTGTTGAATGGGGCGAAGGTCGTCAAAAGCGGATGGTTAGAGGCGTAGCTACGAAATGCGTCGAGTGTAGGTATTCAAAGCTATGGGGTCGATGCGTATCCCGAGTTAACATTATCCTAGGACCCAAATTCAATTATAGTGTGGATAGACTTAGGTTTGAAGCTGTTTGAGTGGGAGCGAGCATTGTTCGGTGTGGGAGGGTGTATATGGAATCACGTTCACGAGAATAGAGTCGTCCACATATCCGCAGAAAAGTATACCAAATACATGTGTCATTTAGGGAAAGAAGGAAATTATAGTCGTATGCATTGTAATTTGAATACCTAGGTAGCCCACGTCGTTAACGCGTCTCGGGTTCATATGTCCCCTCTTACCTTAATTAAGCAACAATTCATAGCTTGCTGATATAGAAATTGATACCAGCATAGGTTCAAGCGATTTAATACTTAGGAAGCTACCATAATATCCACGTCTCGTTAGTTTTCGATCGTTGGGTAACCGTGGGTGTGCGTGCTTGCTGTTCATGCTCCCCTTTAGACAAAAAGCCCACGAATTTATTTCCAATATTCGAACGCTAGTACTTTTGACCTGTTGCCGATGTCAGTCCACGATATACGAAGTTAAGTGTTACCTAATGTGAGCTTTCCTTAATAATGGCCAATTGCATAATACTCGTAGTATACAGAATATTTCTTTCGTGCGTCCTAAGAGCGTCTATATGATATATACGATCTTCCAAATTATTTAGGTCTTCCGTTTAGCTGACTATTACTACCTATTTTAAGTACTTATAGTCATTCCCATATTTACCAAGCAGGCCTCGGTGCTTGAATACTCTATAAGGTACCTAGGTAGCTGGTAGCTGGTAGACTAGATTGTTTGGCTTTGAGGGAAGCACTATTTCCTATATATACGAACAATAAAGGAATGGTGAGGAAGTTGTCACGCCTGCTGGTAACCGAAAACTCCCTTAACCTGCTAAATCAAGCTTGGTCAAGAACTGTTCGGCGGGCGGCCGGGGCCCCCCCGCCGAGTATCAACGTCGGAGAGTAGTTAAAATCCTCACTACCGATTGTTGGATATCCCGAAGGTAAACATCGAGTTCCTTTCTACCGAACAAATGAATCTTGTTCATAATATAATGTTCCCCCTCTGGGTAAAGTACAAGCCAATGTGCAAAACCCTTTTACCGCACATACCTCGCGACCACCCCAGTGGCCTGAACCCCCTTTTACGCGTATCATAGCCGGGAATCTTTGAGTAAAGGGGTATTAACCCTAATTAGTTCCTATAGTACCTTATCTTCACCACGTAGGCCCTAGACGACGAAGTGATAGGAAACCCACCGGGACCAATAGCACTGTCCATTCCCTGGCATCAGAAGACATACTGGGCTGTTACCCCAGTGAGTAAACTCGTCGTTGCCTCCTCAACCCCATAACCTCTTTCCGCCCTAAGATTGATGTACATCTTTTTTTCGCAGTAGGAAAGGACCCGTGGTTATTCCTCCCTTCTACATCTTTCCACGATTTCCTGTCAACCCGTAAAAGATTTCCTCCGCTGTGAAATCTTTTTTCACCACCACTCCTACCATAACCAAGACCTCAAACTTCACCAACCATCAAACATACCTCATTCCGCCTTATTCTATCCAGTTTCTCGTCTATACGCACCTATTTCATCAATAATACGCACCTCGGGATATCTGTGTTTAGATATCCTCAAGTCACCCCTCTCGTATTTTTGCGAAGGTATGTGATCGTATATCCCGACCCTACCTAATTAAATCACTAACAATTATCCATTCAATAGCCACGAATATTTCGTCGATCTCGACCGCGAAATTTTAGAGTACTTCATCTGTATTACTCAGAATGGCGTTCCCTCAGTACCAGAATGTTCCCAACGAGCTGAAGCTCGCCATTTGGGAGGAGGCAACCATGTCGCCCGGAATGCATCATTTTAAGATGTGCCTCACCCGTGTTTACGATATGCTCGCCCCTCCTCTATACATGTATCAAACCGTCAAGATCGAGCCGGCGAAGAATACTCTTCACGACAGTTCGGCATGGAGAGGACGCTTGAACATGAGCATGAGCGATCTTTGGGCGTGCCTTTCCTTCCTGAAACTCAAATACGGACGTTCTACCCTTCGCGTATGCCCAGCCGGCAAGTCGAAAGATTTGGCCGATAAACATGCAACGATCGACCGTGACAACGATCTTGTATGCCTTGAGCTCACCGGCGATGGGACAGTCCTACCGCCTTACATCTGGCCCACCGGGGACCAGAATGACGTGTTGAAGAAATTACGACGCATAGCAATTCCCTACTCCACAAACGCCAACCACCAATTTCACTGCGAGTGTGTCATGTTTCTGCACCGGAACTACACCCACTGTGGCATGACTTTAAGCTACCTAATTGGTTACTTCGGCCACCTAGAGCAGTTCTTCTTCGTTGTCAAACTAGACAAGGACAACACCTACACTACTGGATCGGCACCGCGATTCAGCAAGAAGAATTGTGACGCCGATACTGCAGCTGAGTGGCACCAAAAGCGAACCACCCGCGCTCTCAACCGTTTCAGGGGTATGTTTTTTTCACTTCAAATTACGTATACCACGACGATGGTTCATCAATTCTCCATTTAATTAGGGTATATATACTAATATGTGTTGATTACCTGCAGACATTGCGGTCCGTGAAGAACTCGCTCGCTTCGAGGACATGCGCCACACCTACTACGAGGTGCGAGAGAGTGACACCCAAGACCTTGCATTTTTCCGCCAGATCTAGCAGATCTTCGGAGTAATCAGAAGGGCTTGGGATTGGGAGAAGAAACGCGCGGCTCCTCGCTACAAGGTCAACGAAGTCGAGCTCAAGGTGGTTGTGTATGTTGACCCGAAGACGATCGAGAGCAAGTAATTCGACGAGGGATCATGCGGACCGCGGCGTATCATCCAAACTGGTAGTAGATGAAAAGGATTTGAGGAAACCAACGAGATTGATGAGGGGATACGGATAGGGCATATGAGAAGCATTTGACTTTGGCATCGGTGGACATCTTCGTTGCATTTGAGGTCGGCTTTGCTTGGGGGTTATGATTTCGCTTGATATGTACCCCTATTTCCCCCTATTTCCCCCGCTGTCTCCAAACAGGACAGACAGGAATGTGCTATAGATAACGGCGTCCTTGAAGATTCTCTGTCGTATACTAGCAGAAAATTCTATAATATGGAAATTACAAAAAAGAAGAATGGAAATCTCAATTACTAACCCAAAAAGAGCATTACTCGATACACTAGGCCGAGATCGGCGCTTGCAGGGAAATAATAATAAAAAAAGTGACTGATGCGATCACCGCCTGTGAAAATCATGCGATAGCCTCGGTCATTTTTCTACGTCAGCAACATAAATAAATATCTTTCCGGATAACTGGAATCTTGATTTCACACCAATTTAAATTAATTTAATGAATGGAAAGAAGCGCTCACAACGACAATGAAGGGTAAAGAGGCTCTAATTGACTTACTATCAGCAACGCAACTCGTATGATGGTTCCTTCTTCGCCTTCAAGTAATTCTCAACTAATTTTTCTAAATGTAGGCCTTCCGGCGCTCCCGGAATAACATCATCCAGCCATGGCTATACGTTCCTTCTGGAATAATGATAATGTTGCTGGCCTGCTTCGGTATCAACAAGCTATTCGGGCTTGGATCTGTCCCCTTCCCAGCGTCAGTAGCTTGTCTCATCATCCTTTTCTTCGCTCTGCTATTGTCTGAACAAGTTCTCGGCGAACATCGAACGAAGCGCATTGTTGCCGTCATTGAGATTCCGGTAATTAGTACCTCTGCGACCTTCCTAGATGGTCCGTCAATTGACATTTTCGCTAGGGTGGCTGGGCTTTACGATGGATAAATGTCATGTTCACACCTTCATTCGTTCTTTTACCCCTGAGTCCGGCAATAGGGGGAATCGAAGTACTCAAGATCATCGTCGTCTTCAGTGAGTAACGGGAATAATGTCGCTAATTTTGAACCTATAGCGCTAACTCTTGAATTAGTTATTGGATTTGTAGTCATGATGATTCTCGCAGCATACATGACGCGAGGCTTACAGCTTCTTTTCGGATCTTCAAAACGTGCATTGACTGAACGCGCCGAAGAACTTAACCCTAGCAACGAAGAAATTCCCATGACAACAGCTCCAAGATCTGGCGGGTCTTCAACCTTAGTAGATAGCTCAGGACAAGTTTCATCGGATGAAGTGGACTTACGACCTCCTCCGCACTCTTTGGATGTTTCTCGAGGACACCCAGTCGATGACGACCCAACCCCGACGCTTGCCAGCAGCGTCTCCGAACACGCAGACTTACCGGCCCAAGCTCCAATTCCTCCATCGCGATCAAGCCGCTGGGCCGCTATTATCACCGCCAAATTCGATTTCTTCCTCTACATCACCATGTTCCTATTCGTCGGCCTTCCCGTATACTACATAACGGGGTACGCCATGCCGATGCACCTCAGCCTGAACGTCCTAGCCTACTTCCTCGCGACTTCACTCCCGCCAAAATGGCTGCAATTCCTACACCCAGTTCTAGTATCCTCCCTCCTCACCGTCCTTAGTATCTGGGTTCTCGGGCTAGCCCACGGTGTTGATCTGCATACCACATTAGCAGTATACAAGACCGGTCTCGGGTACACCGAATTCTGGAGCGGTGCACACGGCTTACCTGGCGCTGGTGACCTATTCTCCAGCGTGCTAGACGCCGCCATCATCGCCTTCGCCCTACCCGTATACAAGCACCGACGAGAACTCAAGCGCCACTTCGCCGCGATCGTAGTCCCCAACGTCGCAGTATCAATCGGTTCTCTATTCGCGTATCCGTGTATATGCTACGCTATCGGTATCGGTGCAAGGAGGAGTCTCGCGTTCACGGTTCGGAGTCTGACGCTTGCTCTTGCGCTCCCGGCTGCGGCGAATCTGGGTGGTGATAAGAATACGGCGGCTGCGTTGGCGATTATGAGTGGTGTTGTAGGTGTTCTGGTGGGAAAGAAGTTGCTCAGTCTGTTGAGGATTCCGGAAGGTGAGAGCCCCTTTCCTATTAGTTTATTATTGCATTCCCTTCGGGTTGTGTGTGGAGGTAGGTATGTAGAGGTTGGTGAATACTCACATAGCTTCGAAACGTGAAGTTGAGTTAGTGTTGGCATCAAAACAGGGAAATCTGTAGCTGGTTGCTTGCTAACGCATACAGACGACTATGTCACTCGCGGCGTGACACTAGGTGCCAACTCTTCTGCCATCGCGGCAGCGCTACTCTTACGGACCGACCCGCGAGCTGCCGCGCTATCGATTCTATCTATGAGCATATTCGGAACTATCACCGTCTTGTTCACATCAATACCGCCCATCACGATCGTGGTGCAGTCACTAGTAGGGCTATGAACCTTTAGGACGGGATTAGGTGCTGGCCCGCCAGTGCATCCACTGTACCAACACCAGTCACTCTTTTCCGACCTTGCGATTGTAGTGCATGCAGTACATTTGTTAGACTTGATCGCCTCTAGGCGAATCTTTGGGCGCTTACGCCGTCATGTTGCATTTCCTTTACCGTGCATACTCAATAGTATCTAGATAGATAGACCTATTCCTCGATAGACTAAAATGACTCTCGTTGGCCCCTATTGACTACCTAGGACTCGCTTGCATCATGCCTAGGCTGGCACGTCCCAACGTCTCAGAAGGGAATGCTGATCGCTTCAGTTGGAGATAGGCCCTTCACATGCTTCAATGATCATTCTACTCGTAGGTCCGACATCGCGAGGGATGTTTGATGCTCCGTTCCGTCTCATCGCTCATGGCGGTCTAGAATGAGGCCATCATCCACGGAGATGAAGTTGATCCTATTAGAATCCTCGGCGCCTATAATGTTCCATTGCGATAGGAGCAAACCCTTACAATATTGGCAATATCGTATGTTTTCAAAAGTCCATTTACTGTATTGGTATGCATGCCCCTATCTTGGTGAAGAAAAACCTGTAGACGCGGTCCGTATTCATCGCGCGCGCCGGCACGTGCGTCGTACACTGCCACAGTATATCAAGCTTCTAGAAAAAAAATGTGCCATGGTGATCTTCAGGGACGTTGGATTCATAAGCGTCTTGTCATCGGATAGACTGACGCCCCTAGCATTGGCGACGACGGCATATCCATTTTAAGAAAACGCGTCCCAGTAAATGAACTATAGCGACGGGTAATTCCGCGCGTTAAGGATGGTATGGGTTGTATGTCATTGTATCGATACCAACGTCGAAGTACAATTGACAATTGAGTACAATACTGACCGAAAAAGGGCTCATTCCTGCAAGGGCCAAAATTTCAATTTCGGTATACGATTGAAATTGTAGAAACTTACAAGTTATCGACGTAGAAAACAGGGCCAAATGCTAGTAAAAAGCTTTGGCGACGGCACCGAGTTATCTCGTGTTGAACTACCGGCCGCGGGTAGCAAGGCTGGGAATAGCATCAGTTCCGCTGATCCCAGAGATAATAGTGATATAATATAGTATTTTACATACAGCAGGGTACCTCAGAAGGGGAAATAATCAACGATATCTTGGGACCTGGGACCAAATCTACCGTTACATCGCACGATCATGCAGGACCCCCAGCTTCCCAGCTTCAGCTCTTAGCTGTGCATTTTCCCCAACGGGTCCAACACATGTTCTGTAAGTAGTTAAGTTGGAGTCTGCAAGAAGACCCTTTCTGCCATTCTCGGTAGGATTCATGTCCAGGATGCGCCCGGGGAGGGAAGGAAGGGGGAAAAAACGTGTTCGACGATTTCCAGAAGGACGAATGCAAAAAATCAATAGATTATCCCAATAATGGGGTCCTGTTAAGGCCCCTAGAGACCGTTCCGGAAAACATGACCGGTCCCCATACCGTTCAATGGGTAATGATCGGCGGAGCGCCTGTCGTGGTCGGCGTGGCAGTGCTAATTACGTGACCCGGACTGCCCTACGGGATGATGCAACAGCGCATGAGTAGGTCTTTGCCGCTGTGTAGGAACAAGCTTCTGTTGATAAGAGATGGGATTGTAGATTGATGATTGATGGGATAGGAGCCCAACGTACGGCTGAACACGAGGACTCATGCATTGGCGAGTCGCCTCCTGGATGATCCTTCGATGATGGAAAAAGAAAACGCGACGCGAAAAAGTAGGCAACTTGGCTATGAATGTATACCCGTGGCGAAATAGTAATTTCAATTGTCTATAGCTGACTATCTAAGGATTGGTTCTCGGAGGGAAGGGCAGATGACCGTTGGGATGGGCTGCCCGTCGTACCGTGGGATGAGAATATTTCATACGCCTATCATGTGCTTGAATCGGAGAACGACGAACTGATAGACATGGAAATTGACCCAAAATGAATGATAGGAACGAATTTCCGAATGGGAATTTTCTTCAGCCTTACGTATTTTTACGATTTAGGTAGGTAGGAAGAGACATGAAGTCCTCACCGCTGGAATGCGGAATGCGAACTGTATGGCGGTCGTGGAACCGCTAGATGACTCGTTCATAGGGGTAGAATCGGTTGTAACCCCTCCATAAGCACCTGGGCAGCTAAATGATTGCGTTAGATAGCCCCCAATGCAGCCCTTAACGCTCAGGCTTAGGGGGCTGTTCAGCACGATACCCTACCTAAGTAGAACAACCCTGCAGGCCGGTGAGTTGCATGGAACGCATGGAATGCGACGTAAAATATGCCGTTCATCTCATCCGTGAAACTAGAGTCGGCCCCGTTCCCTACAGAAGGGCCGCATACCGTTAAAATTAGGTCCAGCATCTTGTCCGGGACGCGCTCCGGTGCAACCCTCCCCCGAACAGAGTTGAGTTTTCTCGGCCATGCGGGTGGCTTAACTACCTTTAGACACTAAACGCTGACGATATCTCGTAAAGTTAAGGAGTAGTGGATAAAGCATTTGGGTCCCGAGAACAAAAGAGATTAGGCCAAAGTGTCGCGATAGGCTCTTCTTCTGCAGGACTTCGGAGGTGGTGCCACCAAATTTTATCCTTTTGCCCTTCTTCTTAGAATAGTACGGTAAGGCTACAGCTTAGACGAGGTGTTCTCGCGAGGATTATCTTGGTAGATCTACAGGACGGGCTCCGTCGGCTCGTCGACACGAGGTAGATCTGCAGATCTCGTTAATTTTGCCTATTGAAGTATATTCTCCTATGTTGGCGTGAACGATATGACTATTGTTGATATGAACCATCGATAGGTCTTAAGGAACCGGGAATATGTGAAGGCGAGAATATGCCCTAATTTACACCAATTGCATGTTCGGGATGGGTACGGTATTAGCGTAACAATACATCACCGCAGCGTCACTACGCAACATAGGATCATCTCAACAACCAACCATGATGAACGGCTGACGAAGCCGTACTGAAAAGGGAAGCGGTAAGGGACGGGAGTTGCATTGTTATAGCACGCTCGGCCGGTGATGTGACCTTAAACCCGGACACCAACAAGTCATTGTCCCGTAAGGAATTTAGTACGCAAGTAGCTGTGGAGGAGATGTTGCATCGTAAAGCTTGGCATGCGAGACAGACCATTCAACTCGACCGACGCATGAAATAGTGTCAGAAGAGGTGCCGTCGATATAGTTACGGAGATGATAGGTGAACAGCCCATTCGACCCGATAAAGGAAACAAGGCAGCATTGAGAGCCCTTTTCGAATATTGTGGTGAGCCGGGTACAGTTGCCAGCGTATTGATGGCGTCGGTCAGCAACCATACAGGCGGTTAGGGTGGTAAAGATTTAATTTGGTGGCGTCTAAAGTGGGCGCGCGGGTACCTGAACCTAAGCTGAGTGTTCTGATGGTAGATATTATGGCTGAATGTATTATGCAGTCATGTCCAGATGTTCTTATATAAATGAGATGTGTTGGTCGGGAGCGCCCATTTATGAGGCAAGCTAATCCATCAGATGATATAGATATTCTATGGAGTTTCCCTGATGAACCAGTCGGAATATTTCTCGTGCTGTAAGTGTAGCCCTGCTGCATGAATATCGTCAGATGCTGCTACAGTTTCAGTCACCAGGTCTTCGTCGCCTTCTATTGGGGAAGCGTCTGTTTCATGTAGAGACTAGTCCAATGCAAGATGTCAATTCGGCCTATGCCACGTAGGCGACAGCTAACCTGCAGAGGATTGAAGCTGTCCGCACACAACATGCAGGTTCCTTGCGAAAACGGTCGCAGAAGCATGGCCAACAATAGTCATGCCATGAAGCGGTGAAAGCATCCCAGACCGGACTCGCTATGCCGATCCCGGGGGATCAAATGGCTTCAGACTGACGAACTTGTAGATAATAGAGCATTTTACTAGGTACTCAGAGATAAATGTGTGAGAACAGTGGGGAGTTGCGTTATCATCGATCCACGAGCAGGACAGGATGATTGCGATAGAAACCGCGAGGAATTTGTTTTCCCCGTAGTCGCGTTTCAAAGCAGGCATCGCGACGCCCCGATGGAATTTTCCGTTCAGCGTGGAGTATACCGATACGCAATAGGTGGGTTAGGTACGTATCTGAATATTGACGGCTTCTTTCAGGTATAGTAAATACATTAGTCGTCGCGTATAGCTAGAGAAAAAGACGATGTTCGTCGTGAGAAAATAATCCTGTCGTGATGAGTTGTTGATCAATACGACACCTTTGCCATACTAGGCATCGCGGAGTGTCGCTAATTTTTCAATTGATAATACCAGTATCTGGCGTCTGGTACAGTACATGGTATCTTAATCTTTAAATCAATGCGGCTGTTAACGGAGTTGAGACCCGGATGCCACATCTGAGATGCTATGTCAAAATCCTGTGGGGAATTTCGCTCCTATGAGCCGTAATTCGTAGGCAGACAGAAGCTAGATCAACGGGAAACAAGCCGGTTGGTAGTAGTCCTAGAAGGCCGAAAAAGAAAAGTCTCACCTACCAAATTGATGCTATAAACAGAAGGTATTTTGCAAATAGGACTTCATCCATCGAAATACCTACCTAGTGTACTTATCCGGCAGTAGGTAAAGGGTCTGGACTAGGTTGTCTCGGTGACAATTAATAAGAGACACTCAGTGGTATAAGGATATACAATTAGCCAATGTAGGGCGAATGCGCGGTTTGATCGCTTCCAGTCAATATCGCGCGTACCATTCTTCCAATCGGTTTGGAACGGTAGATTGCCGTTCTGCCAGGTACGGATCTATTTGATGGGATGGAACTCACTCGAGACAGGCTGACTGTAATTTGAACGGAATTATTTGAATGGGAAGCCGTCGGTTACGCTTGTTCGGGTGTGCAACTCGCACATAATACCGATATCTTACTCACCGGGCGCGATATCGCCACGAGCGAGTGTTCTGATTTACCTAAATTAGTAACGTTTTATCGTGGCGTTTAATTAGATGGTGCTAGTCGATCGAAAATGGGTTGGGTTTGGGCACCATGATACGCCCAACCGACCAACACAGCTAGGTGATTGCACACGGAATCGAAAAGAGTAACGGGGAATTTCTGTTTGTATTACAGAACGCGCGCGCGATTCTAGTTGTGAGTATTGTTGAACAAGCATCAGGTAGAAGTTGCTGGGATCCCATTGG